CCCCAGCCCTGAAACTTGCTATTCTTCCTCAGATTTCACTGACAGTGATCCACTTATGGCTTGCTTCTCTAGTCTTTCCTATCACACAAAGAACTTTAAAAGAACCAAAAATGAGGATTACACATGACTTTCCCAAATGAACTTCAAGTCACCTAAACAAAAAGAACTGAGATGTAAGCATTTATGTTTACAATTCTTTTTTTTTTTTTCCCCAGAACCAGGGATTGAACTCAGGCTCTTGCAGTTGCCAGGGAAGCGCTTATTCTACTGAGCCATCTCCCCGACCTATGTTTACAATTCTATTCAACACTTTTTTTAATGTATTTGGTACAGGGTGTGCAGGGTCTACAAGGGTCTCACTATGTAGATTGGACTCCTAGTGATCCTCCTGTTTCCAGCCTCCCAAGCACTGCGATTACAGGTATGCCACCATGTCCAGTCTCAATTGCCATCTCAGCAGGCCTCAAGGGTGAGGTTGGCACAGCACGCTGGTGATAGAACCCTGGCCACTGCACTCTGCCTAAGTAGGTGCTTCAATCTACTGAGCTATCTCACCAGCCCTATTCAACAAATTTTGAACTTAGCCTGGGAGTGGTAGCACATTCCTGTGATAGCAGCAGTTGCAAGGCTGAAGCAGGAGGACAGCTGCTAGTTCAAGGCCAGCCTGGGCTACAGAATAAGTTTAAGGTCAGTCTCAACTACCTAGTGAGACACTGTCACAATCAATCAACCAACTTAGATACTTTTTAATCATTTATTTCTTTATTTGACACAGGGGCATGCCACCCTAGACCCGCCCCCAGGGGCCTGCTGAGCCGCAACCAAGTCCAGGCGTGGTAGCACACACCTGTAATCCCAGTGCTGGGGAGGCTAAAAACAGGATCACTACCAGTCCAAGCTGCATAGCAAGACACAAGACACTACCAAATACATATGAGATACGGAGATACAGGGTCTCACTACACAGCTCAGACTCATAGTGATCCTCCTATCTCAGCCTTCTCAGAGCTGGGATTACAAGCATGTGCCACCATGCCCAGTTTCAGTGGCAGGCATGGCATGCTGTACCGGGGATCAAACCCAGGTCCTTGCGCTTGCCAGGCAGGTGCTTAGACTGCTATCCTCTCAGCCCCAAACTTAGATCTTAATTCAGTAAAGTATTTTTTGGACATCTACCATGAAGAGACATAATCCACCATATACTCCTTCAACAAATATTACTTACATAATTTCTTTGAAACAAACTAGTCCTAGGGCCAGTAGTACAGCAGTGAAGAGAATAAAGTACCTATCATTGTAGAACTTTGACCCTACAGAAGAAGCATACTAAACAAGTACAATAAATATGAAGAAAAGTAAAGCAAGGGGCTGGTGAGATGGCTCAGTGGTCTAAAGCACCTACTTAAGCAAGCTTAGCAAAGCACAGGGACCACGGTTCAATCCCCCAGCACCACATGCCAGCCAGCCAGCCCCCTGGTGGGCTGAGCTGGCCACACGGCCACACACACACACACACACACACAAATAAATAAATAAATAATTTTTTAAAAAATTAAAAAGAAAAGTAAAGCAGAGATTAGGAATTTCAGATAAAGTAAACGAAGATTTCTAAGGAAGATATGAGGAGACTTAAAATAATGTGAAGAAAAAATATCCATGTTACAGTCACACTAAAGCCAGGCATGGGAGCAGATACCTGTAATATCAGCACTCTGGATGGCTGAAGCAGGAGAACCACAAATTTAAGCCCTGACTGAGAAACATAGGGACACCCCGTCTCAGAAATAAAAAGA